GCCGGGAGCGGTGACCCCGCCCGCCGCTCTGCAGGGGGAGGGGGGAGGGAGGAAGGAGGCGAGTCCCCCTCGCGGAAGACAAGAGTGCGCGGAGCCCCACCGGCCCCCTGCCCGGCCGACCGCCCCCTCCCCCGCCTCATCCCTATTCCGGACGGTTCCAAGGGGCAGCTCCTGCCCGGAGCAGGTCTCCGCTTGGGAGGGAGAGAGCGAGCGACGTGGCGGAGAGCGGGGACCGCGGAGAACGAAACAAGTGGGATGCCAAAGTATTGCCGCACTTTAAAGGCTATATGCGAATAAGCTTTATTTCATCACGTGCTTTGGTGGGTTAGAATCCTCCGCTTTCTCAGAGAGAAGGAAGGATCTTTTCCCTTCCTCCCGTGGCCGAAAAGAACCGTTGTCCCAAAAGCCCGGCGAGGCAAAAGAGGCGAGGCGCCCCGGGGGTGGGTGGGGGAATAGGTGGCGGCGGTCGTTTTCCAGTCGTTACGACCAAGCGCAGTTCAAGAAACACGTGCCTGAAATTGTTTACATTCCTATCAAAGCACAAAAAACACACCGTCATAATTTGTAGATGCTAAAATATGATAATACATATAAATATATGTGGCTGAAATCCTGTGTAGTAGGGCAGGGCCATTGAATTACTGGGGATCAACTCCTCCGTAAATTCTGTGGACTCAAATGGTCCTACTCTAGTTACTTTAGTGCAATAACATGATATAACTGTAAAATTAAACTGATGAAAGTCTTTAAAACAAGGCTTCAAAAGAATGCTTAAACATTTCTTTTTTCATACCCTCTCGTACTCTGTAGTTATTTGGTACTTTGTAAAGCAAGTATCTTCTTAGGGTAAACGTCAAGGCAAATACAGTAAATAAAAATGTATTGCATTGAAGATAATCAATATGGTTTAAACTAAATTAATATGCATAAAAAGGGTTAGGGACTGGGCAGATTTGCAACTATAATTATTACAAAGCAAGCGAAGGTCCCAATCCAGGCCTGAGTCAGAAGCAGAAATTAGCTTGCCAGCTGACGGAACCCCACGCGCCCCGGTACAGGCTGCTGGCAAGCATTGGGAAGTTCGTCGGAACTCGCATCCAGACCACCAACTGGGTGCAGAATAACGAGGTGCAACCGTATATGATACAAAGTTCTCCCACTCCCCGGGCACAAAAGAATCGGGCCATAAAATGTCGGCACCGAAGGTCTGTTAAGCATCGAAGGAAACGTTCAGACGACGATGATTAAAAGTTTTCCCCTTTAAATACGGAAAATACTGGTGGAGGGCCCCCCTCTCTCCGTCATTCTGGTAGAAAGGCAGGCTGCTACCGTTTAATGGAAGGCCACCAAATAACCATGATTTAAAATTGATGCCTTTGACCCACCTTTAAACACTCTTTTAATGTTTAAATAAGGGCACAGAAAAATCCTTTGAATAAGAAAAAGAGACAAGAGTTCGTTTGGGTTCCCAACCCGATCCTTCCCCATTCGCTTGGTGCCCAGTCGCCGTTCTTCTGGGCGCGCCACAAGATCTCCCCCCCTCTTCCGAATCCTGCCCTCCCTCCTCAGGCGTAAAGGGCTTTTCTTATCCCCCAACGCCGCCTCGATGCGTGGAATCGCGTCTGTGACGGTTTAAAATCCACGAAGTTCCCTAAAACCACACGGACAAGTGAACTGGTTGGTGTGATGCCGTTGGGCGGGTAGCGGACATAAGTATACGAATCTGAGACAGAATTTCATGGCGCATGTTCCGAAGTTGTGAGTTTAGTTTTGTACTAAATGAATAACTAGCAGGAGAAGTTCGGAAGATCGTGCCGAAAAGGAGGCACAATTGCCTTCCGCTTCCCCGAGGGCTCAGCCAGCGCTGGAGAGCGGCAGGAGCGCGGAGGGCAGGGTCCCCAGAAAGGTCCCGAGGATGGTCTCGGCTAAGCCGGTGGCTTTGCGGGCGGGCAATTTTCCCCTTCACCTCAACAAGCGAGTGAGTCAACAAACGTGCCCGCAAAGACGCTCTGCAGATTTCCATAGATTTTCAGGAGCAACAGTTGCTTGAGCATTTTTGGATAGTGTCCGGAAGGAACCGCCTGGGCGATCAGAGCTATTGACGGACCCCCCCACCCCCACCCCGGGACGCGGTCCCCTCGCTCGAGACCTCCCCTCTAATGTGCGCGAAGGAAACGCAACTCGAAGAGGAGAGGGTAGAGTTAGATGGTTTGCCTTCTTGGTCCTGAGGGGCTCGGGGGGACGGGGCAGGTCCGGCTTTTGCGGGTGATGAGAGTTAGACGGTTTGCCTTCTTGGTCCTGAGGCGCTCGGGGGGGACGGGGCAGGCCCGGCTTTTGCGGGTGACGCCCCGGATTTCCCTCGGAGACCACCTGGACCACAGGCTCGCTGAGTGTGAATGCAGCAGAGAGGGGAGTCTCCTAAGTCCGATGCGGGTCATCCCTCGGATGCAGTCGAGCTTCCCAACATGGACCTTTGCGCGGGACATCTCGCTCCTTGCGTAAGTTCTCCCCCTCCTTGCCGCTGTGTGGCTTTTTTGCAGGCGGAGCGGCCCGGCCGCGCTCGGTGTGCGAAGGCTGCCGGGGCGTCATCGCGGAGCGCTTCCTGCTGCGCCTCAACGACGGCCTGTGGCACGAGCGGTGCGTGTGCTGCGCCTCTTGCCGGGAGCCCCTGGAGAGCACCTGCTTCTACCGCGACGCCAAGCTCTACTGCCGCCTGGACTACGAGCGGTAAGTGCGCCCTGGGACCGTCGGAAGCCAGGGCCACCCTCCCCCTGCCCGGGACCCTCGCTTTCCTGCCCCAAGCCGACCTTCGGCAACAGCCCGAAGAAGGGGGGGCGAGGCGAAGAGGCGCGATCCTGTGCGGTGAGACTGGGGGGCAAGGGCACTTCATGATTCTTTTTGGAAAACTGCCTTTAGGATCTCGCCACGTTTGTGCACAGGATTGTAGTCTTAGTCGCAGTCTTTAACTTGGTTCCAAACCTACTGTCTTATGCAAGGAAATTCCTCCCCGCTTCCCTGCAACCCTGGAACTAGAAATGGTTTGGGGTTGACCACAGAACGGTGTTTCATAAGAGAAGAATACAATCACAGTTGGTGAGCCTCCTTCCCATCCTTTGATAACAGCTTTCTCTGACTAAGAAGTAGCAACCAGGATTTTGACCTTTTCTTTTTTTCCCCTGGAACTGTGTGTTTTATGTCTGNGGATCCATTGGGGGGGGGGGCTGCAAGACATTGCTTTTGAAAATGTGCATGGTGAGACCCGTAACTCACCCATGGCGTGCACGCGTGTCGTGTGCTTTGTTGTTATGTGTCTTCAAGTAGCCCTCGACGATGTATGGTGACCCCCATGAATTAACAATCTCCAGTATGTCAGGTCCTCCACAGCTCTGCTCAGCTCTTGAGTCTGTGGGTCCCTTTTGGGAGCCAGTCCATCTCACATTTGGGCGCTCAGGGTGCCGGCTCAAGGTTAACTTGGCCTTCCATCTTTCTGAGGTTGGTAAAGTGTGCATCTAGCTCACTAGGGCAAGGACAGTGTGCAGCCTGCATAATTATATTGTAAGCCCCTCAGAGAACGCTTTAAGCATGATGTGGCAGTTTATAAGCAGCACACTGCTTCCAAAACTCTTTGGTGTGCTCCGGTAGCCAATGGATATTTGCAATGTGATCTTGAGTGCTTTGTCCTTTTCAAAACCCAGCTTTTTCAAAATCCAGACCCTTCTCATGAATGAAAAACCTGACTCACTACAAGAGGTGGCTTTCATTGTCATATTAATGCAGTGGAGAATATATATGTCACATTTAGCTCGGTCCTCATCCCATCCAGCCTGATGCTTTACACAAGGGAACAGGTGGATGTGCCCAGGAGAACCACAGATAGGTCACAAGGAAGCCAACAGTACTCACCTGTTCTGTGTCCTCTCACAGCAGTGGAAATGGACTGTGTCTGAACTTGAAGGACTTTACTGTATCTCTCCTCTGGGAACTTGATGAACTCAGTTTAAAGCCATCTAAGCCACCAACCATTGTCACATCTTGCAATAGGGAATTTGTGGTCCCAGGGCTGTTGCATTGAGTTTAGAAACGTAGATTTCAGGACCAGATGGGATTAATTTGAACCATAGAACGCAGAGTCCTTAAAAACAGCCTTTGTATGTCCTGAATGGAGTTCTGAAGAGGCTGTATTTAGCAATATCACAGATGAGAAAAAAAGCATTTTTCTAAAGCGATTGAACACAAATGAATCCTGGCAATCCAGACCACATCTCCCCAAATCCCTCAAACCTACAGGGTCGCCAAACATTTTGTCAGAATTGCACATTTAAATATGTCCAACTCCAGCAAACCTCGTCACCATGCAAAAACAAACACATAGCAGAGACACAGTGCAACCTCCCGTGTATGATCAAGAAACATAATGTCTTGGCTGTATATCACTTGCAGAATAAAGGTACTTTAATTCTTTATTTTTGATAGTGGATACAGTGGAATGGGACTGTAGGTAGCTATGTGAGTTTCATGCCCCTATTGTGCTTTGAAAGCAAAGGAGAGAATTATTGGTTTTTAAACACCTTATACATTTCCTGAATGCTGCTTGTGAAAAAAAATATGTAAAACTCAATACAGTGAAGGTATCTAAAATTTATAACTGCACAGTAATCATTTATAACTGCACAAGCAATTGTGCAACCATAAATATGTAACCGTAAAGTTACATATAATAAATAATAAAACAAACAGTAAAGTGTTGTATACAAATCAATACATATATACTCCTACATATTGTATGTCAAATGTTCACATTTGCTTCAAGTGTTATCAGGAAACAAACATGGACATTTGACACAAGAATACACTATGTGCACCTTGGATTCTCTATGTTTAGCATGTAGGAGTATATATGTATTGATTTGTATACAATATTTTAAGGTTTGTTATCTTATTTGTTATATACTGTACTGTATTAGTTTATGGTGGAGTTATTACAATCTTTATGTTAGATACGTTCATTGTATTTTACATTTCTGGAGATTCTGTTTAGTACACCATAGAGAGTTTTTTCCCCCAACAGTTGTTGTTTTCCTTACTCCCTAGTTGTTACATTGCTTCTTGTGAAAGGTGCTTGGAAATATACAGCGCTTCCCATCTAGCTGTACGTGTTGTTATTTTGTTGTGAAAGGGTATCTTCCCCAAAGCTGAAAAAAATGTACTTTTTTTGGACTACAACTTCATGCTGGCTACAGAATTATGGCAGGTGCCGTCCCAAAAGGTAACTTCCCAAACTCCCATCTAGCTATACATTAAAACCGCATACTGGGTGTGCCCTGCAAGGGAATGGAAGAACCCAGTTTCAAAGATTTGCCGAAACTTGCTGATGTCATCCCCAAATACAAAACCAGAACCAATTGGTGAAGATGGTAGGAAAGAAGATTTGGAGCAGCATTCGTAATGGTACGAGCTGTTCAGAAGTGAATCAGTCTGTTTTGGAGGCAATGTGCTCTGCTGGGCTGTGGGTATTCAGGCAGAGACTGGATCAACATCTCTTGAGTTGTTGTCTCTTGCTTTGTGTAAGGGGTTTGGTGAGACAACCTCCACAGTACCTCCACCTCTCCGGTTGTGAGAAAAATGGAGTTTATCATGGAAATAAAAGAGGTAATTTGGAACAGTGATGGATTACAGTGACATCAGACCTCCCACCATGTTTTGCAATCACGAAGCTGAAAAGCCTGTTGAAAATTTCTTGACTGGTTTCTTTTAAAGATTTTCTCAATCTTCCTGCACAAGATGCACAATTGAGAGATTTCATAGGGTTCACATACACCTCTTGATCCTTAGAGTTACTCCCATGAATTTACAGAGCTAATCTATAAGGGGGATAATGTGTTTATAATGACTCTAATAAGAGATGTATGCTGCCCTTTAAAATATTATGAGCTGTATTATTTGGTAATGTTGAGCATAAAAAATGGCAAGTAACTGGTATGCATAATACCAAAGAGCAAAAACAAAACATTACAGAACACAAAACATTGGTTTTGAAAAAGGAGAAAAAACAAGTATTGAGTCAGGAAAATAGTTCATTTTATTTTTTCTTAAACTTTATTATTAATAAATTCATAAAAAGGAAAAAAGGCATTCTCCATTTCTTACATTCTCATCCCAATACATAACAGATATTGCCCAACACTCATGGAATTTATATGCACTAGGCAAATTGATTTTTGTGAAGGAATTATTTATGCATAAAAATAATAATTGAGAAAAATGAAACGAAGGAAAACTTGTCCACTTTACACAGGGTAGTTGTCAATAAAATATATCCCTTTCTATACTGAAAACTAATATTAACAGTTCTGCCATCTCCCAGGTGAATCTGGGGAAGTATAAGTATTTGTAACATAAAGATCTCAATGACCACACCAAACCACAATTCTCCACATTCTTTTGGGGAAGTTCTGACCACGTAAACAAATGTAAAAGTAGATTTATAATTAATGTACACTTCAAAAGTTCTGAAATATTTTCATTAAAAAAAAACAGTAAACATTTTCTTGCCTGTTTTGCATTCTTTCACTCTTGAGATATGGAGCAAACTGGACTGGACTGGCAGCTATAATCAATATGAGTTCCTTCAATTAGATCAGGCAACTGATTTGTATGGGTAGTTTTAGTACTGGCTAGCATGGAATGTGTGGAAGGGATAGTGCCTAATGTGCCCAACTGCCGTATAGTTGGCTCTGTTTACATCCTGCTGATTAATGTAAATTAATGTGTGTTAGGCATGATTCTATAAATCCCTGTGTTCCTACAAGTGGAACAGAAAGGACTACATGTTTTATGAATCAGCTACTAATATCTACCCACCTGGCTGATTTAGGATATTTCTATTTTTAAGTCACTTTGCTGTGTGCACCACAGAGTGGCTATACTGAAAATACATTTGGCTTGCTAAGAAGTTTCATAGAACTGTGAAAATGGTCTTGGACCAAAAGATCCTGTGTCCACAAGAGTTACACTGTTAACTCATTTTATAGGTTTGAGCCCGAGATCATTTACAGGGCCAGATTGCAAAAGGGCCCTGAGCAGGTGCTGGCAGATGTGGGGAGGATTAAGAGTGCAGGGAGAGTTCACTGTTTTTGAAGGGCCGCCTTTGTCATAGAGAAGCACAGTTCTTTACTCAGACAATACTGTGTCCTCCAGATACCACAGGGCAGATACAGTATGTGCATTTGTTACTGTGGCCTTTAAAGCAGAATACGTGTGTGAGAGAGTGAGAAGTCTTGTCAGATTTTTATAATCAGAAAAATCAAATATTTAGACCCAATAGTAATGTTCTTAATAGTTGGACTAACAGTAGATTGTTATTAGCAGCAACAGTAATATGATTATTAATAAAAACAGCACTATGAGTAGCATTTATAGAGCCGTTATAATACTACAATAGTTGTGTTTATTTTTAATTATCTTCAAGGTGAAATGTTACGTTGATTGTGATACAATCTTTCTTTGCTTGTATGAATAAATGATTACTTCTTCCCCTTTTTCCTTATTTTGGGAAAACCAATCTGAGGCTTGAACATTTGTGTAATATTTTTGAATAGTGAGAAATATACATAATGTGCACCAGCACCATTCAGCATTCCATAAGGCAACTAAAAAAATTGGGATACCCAAAACAAACAGCCATAATGCATTCAGCATTCCATAAGGCAACTAAAAAATTGGGACAC